TTGCAAAAGAAAACAGGAAACATTACAATTAGGAGTAGGATGTTGAGAAGCATTCCATCTTTGGCTCAGCTCCAGCCTGGTTGAGCTGGATGACACAGAGGATCCAGCTAAAGTTACAAGGCAACTCTTTCTTGGTTGTCTGTTACAGTGCTAACACTGCTTACAAGCACAGTTGTTTCCTACAAACTACGACAAAACAATCACCTCTCAGTCTGGAAATACATTTTAGTGCTACATAGTAGCTTTGTAACTGTATTATTTGCATTGCACCATAAACATGTTTATGATTTTGGATTATTTAAAAGAACATAGTTTGCCATAGAAAAACACACTAACTTACAAGTGAGCACAAGTATTTTTACTCCAGTGTAATGGCTATCACTTTGCCTTTAACAGATCATCAAAAATTCACAAGTAACTATTTTCATTCCTTGCAAATAGTCAGATAAGATCCACAACTTCATTAAATTGAGTTAGCTTCAGGACTTGCAGTTCTATGTGTTTTGCCTGCCCTGTATAAGCAAAGCCAATGAAAGCCAAACAGGCTGTTGGCCTGTTCCTACATTGCAATCTCGTGCAATATTATATTCCCTGGAAGTGTCAATTCTCTTTGGCCCAAAGAGTCACCCAGATTCCCACATCTTTAAGGTTGCTTCCATTAGGAAAAGAAATAGATGAAATTTGATATGATCCCTGTTTTTTCTTGGAATAATGGGCACTACATCCTGATTTATGGAGCACAAAGAAATTCACATGAATAGGAACAATTTATTTACCTGTAGTTCCCAGACTCTCTGTAGGGAGCTGTATTATAAAAGTCTTCCTTCCAGCCTTTCTGGTGCCACACAGACAGAATTAGAGCAGCTTTCTAAGTCCTCAGAAAATCAGCTGAACTCTTTGACCCTACTATTGTCTGCACCTGCACTTGACTCACTATGAGTACAACATTTTCTACTGCCCATTATCTAAATCAAAGTAATTTGTAATTGTTTCTTATGGTCTCTGAATGGAAAGTGGCTCTCATGGCCACTACTTTGAACAAAATGGTTGAACTGTCCAAAGCCCAACACAATTAGCATGCTCTTCAGATTTCATTTTTTCATATTGTCAAACAGATCCCTTTGGAATTGCACAGAATCTCATAGCTTAGCCAGATATCGCAGGCAATCCCATGTGGCCATCCACTGAAGCCAAGAGATTTACTGCAGGGATGGTTTTGGCATCACAGCATTTTGAACTGATTTCCCTTAAGCAATAAATCAGCACAAATGTACAAATCTAACTGTGTTTGAAGGTTCTGTTTTGCAGCCATCTGTGCAGGCTTTTATTTTGAAACAGGAGTAAAACAAATGCTGGACTAAATGATACTCATTAATATATGCGTTAAGGTAAAAAAAAATACACATCATTAGAAAAGCTGAAAATAACTACAAAAAGCTGTTTTGCATTATTAGAACACCCAGAAAACATTATGTTTGAGTAAAACATTAAGCATTCACCTTAAGACAGGTTGACACTGCAACTTAACTCCAGAATCCCAATATGATATCTTAAGCTAAAAGATACAGCCAGCTGAAGGCAGTCTGCTGTGTGTTGATTTCTCAGACAAAACGTGTTTGGAGCCAGCTTTTGACCAATATAAGCAGGGAAACACAGTGAGGGTTTAAGCACTAAAGTGGTCTCTGATTCAAACAAGATCAATAATCCTGTTAATTAGAGACATTATTTTTGCCTTTTAAACACTCTTTAAACTGCAAAGAAGAACACAAATGAATATACACGAGCTGTGGAGCAATCATCACCACAAAAGTAGTTCTAAGCAGTCACTAACCATTCACACTGCAAAATCTCCCTGTATCTCCAGTATGCTCTGGCATACAGCAGTTTCTCTGAAACCTGGAAGCTCCTCTACCCCTGGAGTTGTGTATGATCAGCAGCTAACACCAGCCAGCTGATGAGCAGTGACTTGCTGCTGTCTGCGTTGGCAGCTCTTGGTTCTCCACCGTCATTGCCCTCACTGTAAAAGCCTAGTCAGAGCCACTTTTTCCAAGACTCTGGAAGCAAGATAAGTTAGGAAATGTGACGTGAATGTCCTTTAACAGCCCTTGGTTCCCAGCATAGTAGATACATGCTCTTCAGTGAGTGTGTTAGCTACAGAAGCTGTGGTCTTTATGATCCTCATACAACAGCAAGAGAAACCACAGTTTGCATTTACTTAGGGTGGGAGACAATACACCTTTTATTGCCCACCCCAAGGTTTTAGCCATGGCCTCACCTTTGCTCGTGCCATGTTAGCTAAACAGCTAAGAATCAATCATCCTCCCACCCAAAGTAACAATTTTACAGTATATAGATCATAGAATCACAGAATCAACTGGCTAGGAAAAGACCTCCGAGATCATCAAGATCATACTGTAACTAGAGGACATGATGAGGAAATGGCTCACTAAAGTATGAATGCTATTGCTCAGCATTTCCTAGAATTAAATATTAGTGTTCTTGACTTTAAACGGCAGGGACCAAGTCCTAGAATGACTGCAAGCTGGCTACCAACGGCTTTAAAAACTTCCATATGAGACTGGCAAGGTACCTGGCACCTTCAGGGACACAGTAATGTATTGCTGTGGTCCCCATTACTAATCTCCAAAACCATATCACAAAAAGCCAGCTGTGCTTTATCTTGTCATTTACTTCAATTAACTAGTATATATCAGGTTAACCAAATTGGGTAGCCACTGAAAACAGTCAAAGACAAACCTTAGAACCAATGTTCCCTGACTCGGTACGAGGCAAATTCAATGGAGGATGGCTTAAAACTATTTAATATAATATTGAGGGTTAGATAATGTAGCTACAAAGGAGTTAATATTCCAATTGTTAGTTAGGAATTTGTCAGATGAGTGCCGCTCATATAAAAATCATACCCTTATGCCAATTTCCTGTCATTCCTAAAGTCTTTAATAAAAAGATATGGATAGTTATAGTAACAGGAGATTGTTTGCATTGTAATAGCAAGACATCAATGAACTTAGTAAACAGTACACTTACTGGCTACTACACTGAGAAGGCATCTGTCCTACCATGCCTAGAGCTCCAGAATTATGCAGTATGAAACACTCCTCTGGTATCTGCATCTGGTAGCATGTCTACAGTGAGACCATCAGCAAATTTGCAGGTGACACTAAGCTGGGAGCGAGTGTCGATCAGCTGGAAGGCAGGAGGGCTCTGCAGAGGGACCTGGATAGGTTGGAGAGATGGTCTGATTCCAGCGGGATGAGGTTCAACAGGGCCAAGTGCTGGGTCCTGCACTTTGGCCACAACAACTCCATGCAGCGCTACAGGCTGGGCACAGAGTGGCTGGAGAGCAGCCAGGCAGAAAGGGACCTGGGAGTGTGGATTGACAGGAAGCTGAACATGAGCCAGCAGTGTGCCCAGGTGGCCAAGAAGGCCAGTGGCATCCTGGCCTGGATCAGGAACAGTGTGGCCAACAGGTCCAGGGAAGTGATTCTTCCCCTGTACTCAGCGCTGGTGAGGCCACACCTGGAGTACTGTGTCCAGCTCTGGGCCCCTCAGTTCAGGAAGGACATTGAGGTGCTGGAGCAGGTCCAGAGGAGAGCAACGAGGCTGGTGAAGGGACTCAAGCACAAGTCCTATGAGGAGAGACTGAGGGAGCTGGGGTTGTTCAGCCTGGAGAAGAGGAGGCTCAGGGGAGACCTCATCACTCTCTACAACTCCCTGCAAGGAGGTTGTAGCCAGGTGGGGGTCGGTCTCTTCTCCCAGGCAACTGTCAGCAAGACAAGAGGGCATGGTCTTGAGCTGTGCCAGGGGAGGTTTAGGTTAGACATTAGAAAGAATTTCTTTACAGAGGGGGTAATCAGACATTGGAATGGGCTGCCCAGGGAAGTGGTGGATTCTCCATCCCTGGAGGTTTTTAAGATGAGACTGGATGTGGCACTTAGTGCCATGGTCTAGCAACTGCAGCAGTAGTGGATCAAGGGTTGGACTTGATGATCTCAGAGGTCCCTTCCAACCCAGCTGATTCTATGATTCTATGATTCTATGCTATGAAACGTATATGGCAATGAGTTTGAATGTGTGTTTGCATCCACCTTCTAAACTATCCACTTTGAAGATAATGTAAATTCTGGACCTGGAAATATTTGCTGCTGTCATTTGACATACATTTTTTGACCAAATGACCAAATACAGGCTAACTTCTTGTTGACTGAAAAAAGATGTCTTATTTTGTACTGTTTAAGATGCAGTCACACATGGCCTGACCTTTGAGACACAAGATGACTTTCTCAAACAAAATGCCAAGGTTGCCCAACTTCTGTCTGAAACTGAAAAATCTTTAGATGAAAGACAAATAAAAATCGGTATATGACAATACTGAAGTGATTTAAGGAGTAAAAACCAATTATGCTATGACTTTTACTGTGGTGGTAAGTAGTACTTCACCTCATCAAATTCAGTTGATAGCAACCTAAATGGCAGTTTTTGCTCAGCTTCTTTTCCCAGCAAGAGTATCAGGGTAGATGTGAATATTTGCAAAGGGCACTAAATTAAGAAAGTATAATGTGGAGTATTTTCTAGTACAGGTAAAACTTGGTAGAATCAGACATTGTGCTAGGTGTTTAGATTCCAGGCACTACTAGATTTTCCAGCAGCTGGTAAAACTCTGCAAAACTTCACTGAATGCTGGACAATTTGCTTATCTTAAGTGTTCCACTACAACATCTAACGGTATCACAGCCATTTAGATTAATTACTTTCCTAACTCACCTCAAACTTTTCAAATGCAAAGTAATAAGGTCTTCCTGAGGAGTCCTTTTCACCTAAAAATAATGTAAAATAATACTTGATGTACTAATTATAACACTCTTGTGTTCTTGTGCATTTGTTCTTGTGCATTTGTTCTTGGCTGACCCAAAAGTCACTTATCAAGTTTATCTGACATGAGCTTTTATAAAAATAGAAAATAAAAACAAACAAAAGAGTATCATTTTAGCAACTTTAATAGCTTCGCCAAACTTTAATCACTTGGGCTGAAAATTTCCATGATAATTGTCTGCCTTGGCCTGTACAAACTTAATTCAAAATTGCTCATAATCATACTCTAATAATATCAGCTACAGAAAAGTCCTTAGAGGAATTAATAATTTTGTCTTTAGAATAGGGCTTGACTAGCTTACAGCAAGTACAGCACAGTCACACTCCAAACAAAGAGACTAAAGCAAAATTCTGAACAGTTATTCACTAATAGCACCATCTAACCTGAATGCTGAATCAGACAGATCAGGCAGTGGTCCCCCCCAAAAATAGGGCATGATGATGTTGCTCAAGGCAGTCATATAATGTAAACAACCAACTTCAACTTTAACGGTTCCCAGCTTTTATATGCTTGAACTTGCAATGCAATGCCTTTATTTGACTGTGTGTTTACATGTGTACACCTGCATGCACACATAAATGCAACAAATACACAAATCGAACAGAAACAATGCATTCAAATGGTGTGAGTTTTAAAAGAAAACACACATTACCTGTAAAGGAGAAATTCAAACTATTCATCTAATATGAACACATAGTTCCACGTTCTGTTATTTGGCAGTACCATTCAGGCTCCATAAGATGGCAGACCTGCATACATTTACCAGATGTTGGTGTAATGACATATCTGTAAATACAGTGCTTTTAAAATGGTTGCTTTAAATGGATGGGGCATGTTTTCAGTCAGAATGTTTTGAATGTGATATATTTAGAACTGTAACGAACTCTGTTCTACAGTTCTACAATGTTCCACATTGCCTTTGACATACTCTCTGATGGCTTTGGACATGGCCTACACAGAGCACCCATAAAAAAATAAAAGGTAGCATCATCACTCTGAGCTGTGGAAAGTACCGTAACTTGATTAGTGTCACTCTTTCTAATAAACATGTAATTGGTATTTATTTCCATTGATTCATTCTAGAACTTTTGGTCAAAGTAAGCTAATTCTTAGAATATTATTGCTCCCCTGACACACCAGAGCTCTTGAGGTTATCTTTTTAACAGGCTGCTTTACGGGAGACTGTCTGGGGTAACAATGATTTTCTTGTGAACCCTGAAATTGATATACTTATTTCCCATTGAATGATGATGTCACTTCTAAAAGCTTTTTTCAGGTTCTCTGATATTAATGTAGTTCTATTATGTGTACAGTCATTATAGTAAATTAACACAACAAATTTGTTTTATGAGTCATATAAGGTTGTTCTGGAGAATACTCTGGAGAATTCTGGAGAATAGTCCAGAGCAAGGTGATGCCTTTACCAGTGCTTTACACCAATTTCCTTTCCATTTGTTAAGATCTCAAGCTGTTTTAGATTTAAGGTTTTCAAACATAGTTTTTTTCAAAACCATTATCACACTTTAAATCACCAGGTAAGCAACGAAATGATCTTTGCAATCTCACTTTTATGTTTCACTTTAGCAAACTCACACTCATTAATGTTATAATTACACAGGCATATAATTTTCCCATAAAGGGTTCATTGCACTTGTTCCACTTGGCTAGGATTACAAGAAGAAGAGGCTAGATTGTGTTTAGTATTTTTAAAGAGTTCTTTGGAAAAAAGACAGTAAGAAGTGTTCATGCCAGCAGGAAAACAGTTTGTACTCAGTAAGGCTGTGAAAAGGAAATCACAATAATTTAAAAATAAAAACGGTTCTACTTCCTAGTAAGCAAATGGAATAAGGAAAATATATTACCAAGGACTCAAAATCCCTCCACTAGAGCATCAGGAACATTATCCTGAAAACTGTATTTAGGAAGAGAACTTTCACGAGAGTCAAGAAATCGAGCTGTTATGTTCATGTGCAAGTTTGCAACTTTTTCATATATAAACATACTCTTTAATGATTGCTTAGCAGTGAAACTTTATTTAAAACACTGCTCCCTGACACATTCACAGGCTTCGTGCTGACTCACTCTTCAAGAATGGGATTTTGAAAAAGAGCAATGAAAACACTCCAGCAGCAGAAATACTGAAGAATTTAGATGAGTGTCTGTAACCTACTTCTACCTTTAGACGGTTACTATATCAAACTTTACAGATGCACCAGGAAGTTCTTGCTGGTTTAAAAACCCCATCGTTTTTAAAGCAGTCCTGTAAGCTTCTTAATGGTGCAGAGGTGGCTTTATTTGTTTGCTTCTGGTCTATCTATGCTTTATCTAAAAAAAACCATACAAGCGGTTATGGTACCTCTGCAGCTCCCTATGGAACCGGGCTGGAGCAGGTTCTGGCCAGGCCCAAGGGGACCACAAGTCCCAGATGGATGCACACGAACCTCGTATACATCGGCGCAGCTTCGCGTTTCGGGGCTAATTTTGCAGAAACATCTCTTTGTGTTGAAAGATTTTGCAGCGTTTCAGCAAGATATTTCAGCGCTCAGTCATCACTCCGCCGAGCACATCCTCCCCCAGCTGCCACTCAAGCTGTCACTTGGAGCAGCGGTCCAAGAGACGCTCCTCACACCGCCAGGGGCAGGGCACAATAAGCAAGTTTGTACTGCCACGTTTTGCACCTCTGGCACCCTGTGTTGTGGAAAACGAATGAGAAAAGAGGCTTTTGACTTTCTGCTGCTTTTTGATATAGAAACACGGCTCTAAAGAGGTCACTGACTGGGGAACAGCTTCTTCCTGCCAGCACTGACTCACGAGCCAAGCAGTTGCTAGCTGCAGCGGCACGAGGAGGCGGGAAATCTAGCGCTGGGCCTGCCGATGCTGCCGGGAAGGGCCTGAAGCCCTGCGGAGCTCCCCAGCCCCCGCGGGCGGTGCGGGCAGGGCCGGCGGCAGGCGACCATTCCCGACCATTCCCGACCATTCCCTGCGGGGCCGCGGCCGCCCCCCGGCCGCGCGCTGGCACACGCACCCCAGCATCCCCACTTGACGCATTGCAGGTACCGCGCGGCCAATCAGTGGCCGCGACTCTTACCAGATAACCATTGCGGAGCCCCGTCAGCCAATCAGGCGCGCCTTCACAAAGTGCTGCCTCAGAAGCCACAGCACCGCTTCCGTCGGATGCCGCCGTGCCAGCGAGCGGTAGCCTTCCGCGAGAGGATATAGGTCCCGCCGCCAGCCAGCGGGTCGCTGGCGGGAGCTGCCCGTGGAGGGAGGGAGGGAGGGAGGGAGCTGGGATCGGATCGGATCGGATCGGATCGGACCGGACCGGACGCCTCAGCGCTGCCTCTCCCTCGCTGGCGTTTCAGGACCTGTCAGGGTGCGGGGTGCAGCCGCCTTCCCCCGAGCCCGGCACAGAGCGCTCCTGCTGCGGCCCCGCTGCCCGCGGGAAAGGGGGAGAAAACAGTGTCCCTCGGGAGGCTCTGGGAAAGCGGAGCGTTCTGTGCTGTGCCACCTGGGGCTCTGCTGTTAGTTGTAACATTAATCGCCATCAGCAGTTCCTGCGTGGAGAGCGGGAGAATCACCAGCGCCGAGCCGAGCCGAGCCAAAGCGTCACTTCAGGCGAACCCTGAAGTGCCTCCAGAGGAGCTGCAGAGCTGCCTGTGCCAAGTCGGCAAATGGCATCTGCGGGAGGCACAGCTGCGAGCCCTGCAGTGGCTCTCGCTTAATTGCGAATGTCGCCACAGCCGTTGGGAGCGCCGGCAGGACCCGCAGTGCTCAGCGGGGAGAGGTGCAGCCCCAGCGAGGTCTTGCCAAATAACTTAGATCTTCTGTGGCGAACTGAAGCCCTCGGCATATCGACAGTTATTCCTCTATATCCTGCCTTTGGGGTACCTGGTTAAAAATCCACCCCCTTCCCCAGACCCACTGACCAAGAATAAATACACTTCACTTAGAAGCGCAGGTTCGGGCGTAGCTGTGTTTTCGTGCCAACGCAGTGCTGCCGGGTGGGATCGCTCTCCAAAGGATGTTCCCTGGCCCCCACTGCAGACGGGGGGATTGGTGCAAGGATGTCAGGACAGATGAAATTCAACCAATAACATTGTTTTTCAAGAATTAAGCTAGATGACTACTTGGCACCCATGGACCCATCACAGAACAGAGTTCGAGGTTTTTTGGTTTTGGGGTTTTTTTGCACAAGCTTGTGGGCCAGCAGTACGTCCCTGAGGAGAGAACGAGACAAACTAAAGAAAGAAGTGGGAGGAGGAGTAGGAAGATATCTGTGTTTCAGTGATTTAACCCCATAATAATAATAACAAAATAGTCTATTTTGAGTCTTTTCCTTTTTGCTTATTTGATGCTGAATATATTGTTTCAGTTATATTTTAGTTGAGAAGATTGGTGCTCTGTAAGCCCCTAAAATAGAATATGGAGATAGAGACAGCAGAAGCAGAATGGTTGCCAAAATGAGATGATCTGGAGTGCTGAGCACTGCATCAGCCCACACACTGGCCCACCCCGAGGACAGTGATGCAGAGAAGTCTTAGATGGTGCTCCCTGCTTGGAAAAATGATGTCAGTATTGGCGGACCCGAGACTAAACCAAAAGCTAACCAAAATAAACTCATTAAATGTGCTTCTGTATAGCATAAAGAACCCATTCTCTGTGCAGTGCACCTTTGTGTTAGGCTTGTGCTCTTTAATAACAGTGCTGCTGACAGCTTCACAGCCAGCACATAACAGTGCACTTACTAAATATAAGTACTTCATTAGCATCTAACATACTTCTGCTACCACAAAAATAACAACAAATAGCCATACTGTGGGGAAGGTCAATGGTGCTTGCCAGGAAAGGTGTTTGCACAAAGTGCTATGTGCTTGGGACAGACTGGATTTTAGACATGTTCTTATTCCACAGAAGCTGATAGCCCCAGAATAAGGCAGGCAGAACAGAGGTTTAATTAGGTAGCTGATGTGAACTGTACCCTCCCAAAAAGGAGGGGAAGAATATCAGGCCCCATGGGACAGCTCTACTTTTCAGGTTTATAAAGAAAGACTTTTTCTTGATACCATTTCTGGAATTTCAACAATGATGGAAGGTGCTTTAGGATGGAGACACAAGCATACTCTAAGGGTCAGACATTTTAAGAGGCTGAACTTCACAGGCACTAGTGACCCCAAAACTAAAAACCTACAGTTCTAGACAAAGAACTGCATCAAAGAGAAACCTTAAGGGGGATATCAGAACCTGTATTCTGGAGGCATCAGTTGTTCCTGTTTAAAATATTTTGTTCACTAAAAGAGATGAGCCCTCAGAAGAGGACTTCCTAGGTACTGCCATGGAAGGTTCCCAGGGGAGAGGCAGTCCACTGGCTCTCTGACAATTAGCTAGAGATTGGAATTTATTTTTACAGTTTCTGGGAACTGATACTAGAAATGCATCTTCTCTTCAAGGTTGTTGAAAACCAGGATTTTTTTCTTCCCCAAAATGGTGATGAGGCAGTTATTTCATTATGAGGTGGGTTTAGTACTCATGCATGCACAAACAAAACATAGCTGTCCGAAGTGTAATGATTCCATAGTTTTCTTCCTGCATATAAGGCAAGTGAAGAAGAGTGGCACCTGGCAATGATGCTGGCTTCCAGCATCACTAGTTTGGGATGTATGTATAATACATTCCACCTCAGGCCAGCTCTGTAGTATAGTGGGTTAGAATAGTGGATGTCTCTTGGATGCCAGTATTTGACATCCATTTAACTCAGGTGGGTTTGATCTTGTAGCTTTTTATCTTATCCTAAGATAAGATTCTTATCCCAAACTGATGAAAACTCCTTGATTTCAGTGTGTGAGAGAAGGGAAGAATAAATTCCTAACTGGTGCAAATTAACATGGATTTGTTGACTTCAGGGCATGTTTACAGTTGCTGAAAATCTGTTCTAGAAACTATGATTCTGATTTAAAATTATGATCACCCTTGAACCGCGTGTGTGGAGTTGTTGAATTTTTTACCTCTAGCTGTAGCATGAAGATTTACGACAGCTCCACCTGACCCAAAGAAATTTTATTTAACATAGACCTACTACAAAATTACACTTAGTCCATTAGAGGATGTATCTGTGTATTTTGCCTACCTATCTGCGTACATCATATATATTCTTATATATTTATTTGTTAAATTTATCTGGGATTTTTATTGCAAAATTGATGTCCTACTTTGCCCCGTGGGAGTATTCAGATGAAAATGAGTTACTCATGGACAAAGGAGAGGTGTAAAAAACAATGCAAACAGCTCATTTAATAATTTCTGTTATGTAAAAAAGCAATCTTGAGTGTCTTTGAAGATTTTTTTTTTCTGTGTCAAATAGGACAAACTGAAAGGAGAAACAACGTAACTGGAGTTGAAAAAAACTGATTCTCAGCCTTTTTTCAAGACTTAAATTCTGAAAGCTATTTGTTTACCATTGTTTATTATACCATTTTAAGCTATATGTTGGTTCAAAATCTGTAGCTAACAGCAACAGCTGTTCAGCTTTTATCAGTTCTAATGCAGAAATTTGAACCCATAAAGTAAACCAGTTTTTGGCCCACTCATTTTTCTAGCATATTCTAAAGAAATAAATGCAAACTCAAGCCATTCCTAATAGGGTGAATCTGATAAAAATTAGTTTGTTTCTTATATTGTATCACTTAAAATTTAGAGGAATCCACCTACTGAAATTAGAAGCAGAATTTTTCTTATCATTAGAATGACTGTTCCCATATGCATCTTTCTATACAGAATATTTTCAAATATATTTATGGTAAAAATATATGACTTTTCTTTGACAGATATATTAGTTGGAGTCATCATCAGGAAATATTGTTCATGTGCATGTGTCTATCAGTGAAGAAGCAAGACCTAAGTATGCTTGACAGTGTTATGTAAAAATACGAAATACTTAGCAAACACACACATAAATATCCTTTTCTGCATTTGATTATTGAAAAATAGTGGATATAGTTTGGCTTTTATTTGTAATAACACTAACGGTAACAAAACATAGAAAAATGGAACAAGTAACTTGTTTATATCATGAATCATCCAATGTTTACCTTTCTGTGAAACTGGCAATTACAAAAACTGGGAAGGAAAATCCTGTTTTCGCATACTCCAATGTTTCTAGAGAACTCTTCATAGGACTATGAAGAAAGGTTGGGGTTTTTTAAGACTGCGTGGAAAAGTTTTGCTCTTTTTTAATTTATTTTACATTTCAAGTGTTAAAAAAAAGAGTAGGAAAAGGCATTTTGATTTAAAAGAATTGTTTTGTGATGTTTAATCTGCAAGATGTATGACTGAGGATATGTGTGGGAGCAGGTTTGTAATTCCCATCTTTCCAAGTCTTTTTTAAGATAGGATCTTTAAAGTTTCCAATTCCAAATACTCTAAGTTTAGAACATGAAACTTTTCAAATTATTGGGCCTCAAGGATGCCAATTTACATAGCTACATGGAAAAGGTTTCACTGATTTAATTACAATATATAAATAATTTAGTTCTAACTAATGGTTAAATCAGTTTTATATCACCATCTAAAACTTTACAAGGCAACAGACTCTCAGTGTAGGTAACAACCACTGATTATTCAATTACATAGATGGCCTTCTAGCACTAAATGCTCAGTGAAAATCCATAATTGTATGTGATTCTGATGTACACCAGTTGGAATGAGACAAATGTAAAGAAATCACAAGCATGTAAAAGATTGGGGAGTTTGGTTGGGGTTTTTTTCCTCTCTCATAAAAGGAACAGTTATGTACAGGAACATGTATTTACCCATTTAAAAATGCTCCAAGGTCTGGAACTTTGAATGTTAAGATGAAAGCAATTTTTATTTTCACATCTTGTATAAATGTGGTAAAAATCAATTCTGTTCTAGGTTTTTGTTTCAATGGAGTTCCACCCACTTATTTGCAACCTGTGAAGCTCACAGAGTATTTTATAAGAATACTCGCTTAGATTTTCACAGCTGCCCATGGCATTTAGAAACATTAATTTTTGTGGAAAACACTCTCCCCAAAAAACATTGCCTATATGAAGAGAATTTTATGGAAAGTGTAAAACCCCTATTTTCTGATATACCATCAGAATTCCAGTTGACTTGGAAAGCAGTACAACAAACTTAAACCTAGTTTGGGTAGCTCACATATATAACTGGTATTTTTATAGGTGTGAAAACTAATCATTAATTTTTTTCCAGTTGCACAGATGATGCATGCACATATATACTTGATTTTGGCTTCTTGTACATCTAACTTATTATAAAATGGTTATCTGTGCTTATCGCCATAATATCAGCCTCCCAGCCATGCATTAAATGATATGACAACCTTCTGTTCATCTATTTTTACATCCATTCTCTCAGGACAGATGTCTGTGAAATGTTCTGATTTATTTTGTTGTGTTTTTTTTTTTTTTAACTTATGTATATTTAATATGAGAAAACAATTGATACATGTGTGACCGTGTTCTTCAGTGCTTATGTTAACAAAGCCAAAGCAGAAAAGTACACCTTGTATGTAAGTAGAGGGATTTATTATTTTTTCGTGTTCTCAACAGAAATCCTCCTGATATCTTATGCTGCTCCCAAAGAATGGGCATGCTGAAACAAAGACCAACACTATAAACTTACTCTCACATTAAGGCAAAACTTAGGAATACTAGGTAGAATGGTTGCAAGTCTTCTGCTGCAACTAATACATTTATAAAATAGTGTTTTCTTACTATTACAACTCAAACACAAGTCAACAAGACTATACTTACAAAGTAATTTAGAACAGTAAAGCTATCCAGGCAAAATTCATCTTAACAGCTATTGCATAGCCCTCTGTTCATAGAAAAGCTCTGTTGCAATGAGATGGCCAAGTTGTATAGTGTCAGGCAAAAGTACTGAGTAATCCCATGGCCCAGTCCAGCTCCCACTGAGATT